CAAGACCAGAGCGGGACGACTGAGCGTCTAGCCCAACTGTAGGTGAACGTCAACAAACTCAACTTCCTGAAACAACTTAGAGGGTGAGAATTTCTTGTTTCAAGGAATGTTAACCATGTAATCTGGGGATATAAGAAGATTACAAAAGGATGTCGCTTCTGTTGGGCATGAAATTGCCCCACTGGAGGAACTCTGAACTAGCAGAGGGTCTCAGCAGTGCCTCGGTTGCTCTGTGGTTTCTAGAACTTCACCCATTCCACACTTCCTCCCAGAAAAACATGGTATAACTGCCACCCTTGCCAACTACTATTACCACCATTTATTGAGGGTTAAGTGGTAACACTGTCTGAGTCGATGGGTATAATATTCTTATAAAGTATGATTACTACAACCTATTCACAGTCAAGAAACCTGAGATTCAGAAAGGCTAAGTAACTTGTCCAAGGTTATGAAGCTAGGAAGTGGCAGAGCTGGGAATTGAAGCCGCGCTTTTATGATTCTAAAACCACACACATTTTGAAATGTTGTTTTAAAACACAAATAACTTTGATTAAATTTCAGATTGTCATGGGAGTACAGATAATTTGATTAAATAATTTGCTTTTGTGCGAATAATGTCAGAATTATAGGTGCATCCTTGCCCCAGAAAGAATGCATTATACCCAGGCAGTGTATGTGTTGGGTGGTAACTTACCCACCTCCTCTGCCCCCTCCTCTACTTCATTTTCATTGCGTTTGCTTCCATAAGAGCTTATAGGTGTTATGCATCTAGCTCAGATACAGTACTGAGTGCGTGATGTTTGTTTTTCTTATTGAAATACACAAATAATAAAGTGAACACATCCATGTAACCACCAAACAGACTAGGGAATAGAAGGTTACCAGCACCTCTGAGGCCCATCCTATTCTCTTTCAATGAAAGTGAGCTACCATTTGCACTACTGGTATCAGAGATTACTTTTTGCCTATTGTTGAACTGTATTTTAATGAAATTACAGGTGTGCTGTACTGAGTCTGGCTGCTTTCATTTCTGTAGTGAGATTCAGTTATGTTACTGGACCTAGCAGTGGTTCATTATCATTGCTATGTCCTGGTTACTGTAGCACTACACACAATTTATCAGTTCTGTTGACGGGCATTTGGTTGATTCTGGTCTTAGCAATTATGAACAATACTTCCCTAAATAGTTTTGCATGTCTTATGGCACATAAATATATGATTTATGATCGGTATAAACCTAGGAGTAACACTGCCAAGTAATACATTGTATCTAAGTTCAAATGTAACATAGATCAACTATTTCCCAAAGTGATTGAACACATATATACACCTACCTGCAGTATATATCCCGTGTTTGACAGCATTCGGCATTGTCAGTCTGTTTTTGTTTTGGCTGTTGCGTTGGGTATATTGTGATATCCTATTGGGGTTTAGTTTGCTTTTCCTTAATAATTAGCAATAACGATCATTTTTCAATGTGTGTATTCATAAGCTGACAAAGTTCAACTTGTCATTTTTCATTCTCTCCTTTTAGAATGTTGATTGGGATTTTATTGAACCTGATCAGTTTAAATAGAATTAGCAATTAAAAACTTAGTCTTTTCATCCACAACCCTCGTATCTTCTTCCACATCCTTAGGTTTTCTTTCATTTCCTTTAGTAATACACTTCTCTGTGTAGAGGTCTTACATAGCTTTGTTAGATATGATTCCCCAGAGTCGATGTTTTGATAGTATTTAAAGTGACATCATTAAAAATTGTTTAAATTGTTTGGTGCTGGAACAAAGAAATGCTGTTAAAGTTGTGTATTGGCTTTGTATTCTGAGAGCTTTTTGAAATCATTTGTTAATTTTAACAGTTTACCTATGCTTTCTTTTGAATTTTTCACATTCACAATCATATCTCTGGGAAAGAATGGGAAAAAGTGCTTTGAAGGTGGACTAGGTGTTGGCATCATTGCAGAGCTTCCCAAGGGGAGGACTTCCAAGGCGACCATAGTGATATTCCACGAGGAGGTATGAGCACTTTTTCTAGGAAGAGTTTGTGAACTTAATTGTTCAACCTCATAAATAATTTGAGGAGTTCAGAGTATAAACACAAGGATCATGTGAGCTATAATATCCATTTAAGATCATGAGGGTTTTTTTTTTTTTTTTTGTGGATGTATAAGATTTGTAAAGGTTTAGGAGAAAAAACAAAACAAGTTAGAGGAGAAATGTGACTTGTTCAAGCCTTAGGTAACATGTAATATGTGGTACTTGCAGGCATCGGAGACAGTGAGGGGACCAGCTTATCTGGAATAGAGGATCTGTTTTAGGGAGTAAGTGCCAGGTAGTTAGGGGTGGACCCGTGTTGTGGAAAATGATGAGTATCAAATTATGAGATACTGATTTTCTTCGATGGGGAAAAAAGTATTCTACAGAACTTCCATAGAATGTTAGCTGAAATTAACACCCCCAAAGCAAACAAATGAAAAAGACACTGAATTTTGCTTATAAAGAAATAGCATTTCTTAAAACATACTTCAGGAAATCTGGATATGTGGGCACCAAGAAATACTGATGGGAACATGACACGGCATGGAAGTCTGTGAAAGTGGGGGCTCCCCGGTATTCTCACAGGTGTACACTAGCACCCACGGGACCACCTGCAAAGCTTTGTTCTCAATATGTGTGTATATATATTTTACATTTCGTGCAAATTGTATTTTTTTATTAAGTCATATACACCTAGATCATGAATACATTTATGCATATGTGGGGTACAATGTTTTGATTTTTTTTATACAATCTGATGTGGTTACATCAAACCAATCAACATAGCTTTGCCTCATTTACTTGATTATTGTGTTTAGACATTTATGTTCTAGACTTAACAGATTTGACTTGTACCCTTGCAATATGCTCCATAGGTGTGGTCCCAACTTCTACCCTCCCCCCATCAAACCTCCCCCATTCCCTTCCTTCCCACTCCATTTCTCTCCTTCATCCTGGCTATAGTTGTGTTCTATCTTTCATAACAAAGTGTGAGTAAGTATAAGTTGGTTTCATACAAGTACTGAGTACATTGGATACTTTTCCCTCCATTCTTGAGATACTTCACTCAGGAGAATATGTTCCAGGTCCCTCCATGTAAACATAAAAGAGGTAAAGTCTCCATCATTTTAAAGGCTGCATAGTATTCCATGGTGTCCATATACCACAATTTATTAATCCATTCATGGGTCGATGGGCACTTGGGCTTCTCTCAATATACATTAACTGAGTTGTTGATTGGTAAAGGAAGAAACAGATCAGGATGAAATAAATTATTTTGATTTTGTTTTACCAAGTTTCATCTGTTGATACAGCACAGATTAGACTGTAGGAGAAATAGGCTCAAAACAGAAATCCCAGCACAGAAGATGGAAAGGTGGTCCAGGCTTAAGACTGGTCTTGGACTGTGGTGCTGTCTCTAAAAATGGAAAATGAAATGGGTAACAGTGATGTCTTGCAATGAGAGTTGAAACTTTGGTGATATATTAGGTGAACAGGAAAGGAAGTTCTCAAGGTAAAGCGTGGGTATGGCTCTGGGCATAACAAAGTCCCTGGGGAAGAAGGAACTTCGATGTGGGAAACTTCCTTCTGGTCCCTCCAGATAGCCAAACAGTCTCACGGGTGAAATCAGGAAGGAGTATCTCATTCCACGAAGCCTTCCTTGTATTGAGGACTTACGGAAAATGATCACCAGTTTTCAAATAGTAAAGCTAGGGTTGGGACAGAGTGTAAATGAAAAATACAGAAATAAAAACTATTTAAAAAAATTCATGAGTCAGTGTAAATATATTGTGAAAAGATTTTGACTCAGCCCATAAAACACCTTTTCTTTCAGCTCCATAATTTTATGACATCTACATACAACATACATTAATTAGAACATTAAGAATTTATGGCAAGGAAGATGGGGTAACTATTTTGAGCTAATTCTTTTTGAAGAGAAAGCTGACTCTTCTAGGATTATCAACAAGTAGATCGATGACTCAGCTGTGAGAATGAAAATGTAGGTTCTGTCTACTCTGCACATACTCAGAGTGAAACCCAGGCAAACCCAGGGGTAACCATTACTCCCTCCAGTGGGCCAAACCTAACACACCCCACGGGAAATGGCTTTTCTCCTCAGCAGAGCCAAGGGGATGGAATGGAAACAGCAGACTTCAGGTCCACCCACTTAGTGAATGAATCCTACACATAATTAGTTGCTTCTTAGTCTCCTTCTTTTTTTTTTTTGAGACAGAACCTCAAGCTGTCCCCCTGGGTAGAGTGCCGTGGCATCACAGCTCACAGAAACCTCCAACTCCTGGGCTCAAGCGAGTCTCCTGCCTCAGCCTCCCAAGTAGCTGGGACCACAGGGGCCCGCCACAACACCCAGCTAGTTTTTGGTTGCAGCCATCATTGTTGTTTGGCGGGCCCTGGCTGGATTCGAACCCACCACCTTAGGTGTATGTGGCTGGCGCCTTAGACACTTGAGCCACAGACGCCGAGCCTTAGTCTCCTTCTTTATAAAATAAGAATAATAAATATCTCAGAGCACAGCGATGAGGATTCAATAAGATATAAAATACTACTACCATAGGCACTGTGCGCATACACGGACGTCAGTGAAGGATTGCTGTGTTGTGTCCTTCAAGTGCACCTTCTTCCAAGCCACCAGATCCCTTTCCCCTGGAAATATTGTGTGTAGTATAGTTAAGGATCATGAGAAATACATTTGTGGTGACTACACTAAGGAAAGATGAGAAAATTGATGTAATGATAACTACCAGAAAAAATAATTTCCAAGGATTTCTATGATAAGGAATGCTAGTTTAGAAAGGTAAAGTTTTTGGTAGGGCTTCAATCCATTCTTGCTGAACAGTTGTTAAGTATGTAGTTAGTGATATCAAGAAACAGACGAAAGTGGGTCTAAATGGTAAAACATGATTTGCGTTCATTGTAACTATCATCTCTTTTCTATTCCACCAGTGAGAAGAAGCTCATTACGGATGCCCTCAATAAAAACCAGTTTCTGAAGAGACTGGATCCGCAGCAGATCAAAGACATGGTGGAATGCATGTATGGGCGAAACTACCAGCAAGGGAGTTACATCATTAAGCAGGGAGAGCCGGGAAATCATATCTTTGTGCTGGCAGGTGGGACTCACACATTTTCCTGATTATCGTCTATCAACTGTTTTACCTATTTTCTAGGATTGTTTTGCAAGCATCTATAGAAACAAAATTGTTTATAAATATGGTAGTATATATGTAGAAAACGTAACAAAATTCACGAAATGGCAACGTTGTTGATCTAATCATCATGATGATAATACTTAATATTAGCTGGATGATTTCTGTGTCTCAGGCATCCACAGAGATCTTTCCTTTCGCATCTCTGGTATCTCCATGTGACTAATGGGGGCTGTGTCCCAGAGAGGTGAAGTGACTTATTTAAGGCCACAGGCCTCCTAAGTCACGGAAGTAAACGCAAACGAAGATAATCGGACTTAAGAATCTATGCTCGTAATCACAGTGCCTTTCAGTCAAAAATGTGTTTCCCTTCAAAATGCTTCTGCTAGTGTTGACATTTTTAGGTGATGTACCAGGGGAGAGAATAATTATTTGTGTACTTCGGAACATATTATGAATATGTACCAATGATTTTAAGAGGTAATTTAAGGTACATTTCACTAACATACAAATCAAATGGAATGTCTTACAATGAAAACAGATGTCTTTAAAATCGTTTAAATGGTTTCCTTCATCTTTAATCACGTGAACATGCTTGCATGTGGGGAAAATTATAATGGTTAAATAGGCGACAGATGTGTTTCTCAAATGCATATAGATCATATAATGGGCAGTCCAAAAATGTTTTAGATGTAGATGCAAGAAATTATCTGAGGCGAGATTAAGGTGATTAAACATTTTGGCACATTCTTAATTGCCCCAGCTTTTTGAGTTGTAGAGAAAGAAGTTAAAATTGGCTTATCCAGATGGAAAGATGACCTTTCCATATGCTGTGGCCTTCTCTTGTGTAGTACAGCTCTTGATAACCTTGGTAATGCATTACCCTTGTTCCCTCACGGCCTTCAGGGTGGGGCAGAAGTGGCCTATCTAGATAAATTAATAATATATTGCTATTCTACTACTAATATTATTGTTAAATAATAACTTCTGTGTTTAGTGTAGAAAAGATTGTTTTCTTAAACTTTGATTTTTCAGACATTCCAATTTTATGATTATTTATATATTATTTGTCATATTCATCACTGTAGGCACCTTTAAAGTTATAGTCACTCCTAAGTAATTATTCTACTCAAGTTTTTGAGTTATGCTTTTAATTTAGGCAGCTTTCAATTGTTTTAGAAACAGGTGACCTAGAGCAATTTTTTTCCTCTTGTGGCTTTTCTCTTGGCCTGAATTTCAATTCTGCTTTAGCAACAGGAGAGCATTCCAGCAAGAGAAGATAGATCATTAAATCAGTAAATATTTATTGAACCTGTTAGGAGAGGATGAGCAAGTCATGTCAGCCCATCTTGTTCCTTGCCAGTAGTTCTGATGAAAGGCTCAGGGAGGAAAGAGGTTGAACAGTAGTCAGCACCAGAATAGCTATTGAAATCAGAGCAATAGCACACGTAGAAATGAAAGTTGGATGATTTCTTATTTGCATTAATTATGGTGTCATCTAAGGACTGAATTGTCTGGTTTAATTACCTGGTTGAGCAAATTAATTTGATAATTAAAAGTCTCCCCTTTATAAAACATGCCATGAATAGCAAATGGTAAAAGCACATTGAGCCTAAATTTTTGATATCCCATAGAAGTCTTCAGTGTTACTCACGTCCCTGGAGCCACAGCCAATTAGAAAAACAATACCTTTGAAATACAAGAAGATTCATGATATCAACTGGACAGTACCATTAAAGTGGCTTTTGTGGATTAGAATTCAGCTTTGATGAGAAATTCTTAAACTGTATATCTAACCTGTAGCATGTGGAACCAAAATAGGCTCTATTTTCTTAATAGAATCTAAGTTCTATCAGAATAAATATTTTTTTCTCTTTCATCCTGTCTGGCATCTGATACAGTTTATGCACAACATGGGTCCTCAGATCAGATTTGTTGAATGAAAGGATAGACAGAGAAGACCCAGAGCCACTTAGTGGTGAATTAGGAAGAGGAAAGACTAATTTTATTTTATTTTTTTTAGAGACAGAGTTTCACTTTATTGCCCTCGGTAGAGTGCTGTGGCATCACAGCTCACAGGAACCTTCAACTCCTGGGCTTAGGCAATTCTCTTGCCTCAGCCTCCCAAGTAGGTGGGACTACCGGTGTCCTCCACAATGCCTGGCTTTTTTTTGGTTGCAGTTTGGCCGAGGCCAGGTTTGAAACCACCACCCTCGGTATATGGGGCCAGTGCCCTACTCACTGAGGCACAGGTACTGCCCAAAAGACTAATTCTTTAAGGGAAAGAGATATTACCCCATAATTTTTCTACTTTTATGAAATTAGACCTTTTTTGCTTATGTTTTTGGCTACGTAAAGTTTTGTTTATATTTGTTGAAAGGTAAAGGTGAATAAAGTTGGTAGTGTAAAAAAAATTGTGAAAGCGTTGCTTAAAGTGCTGCCTAGGCAAAGGGAAGGGCCAAATCTTCGCAATCTGTGCACAATTAATCTGTATTGCATTGAAATGAATACGAGAGGAGACAACAATTGAGGTACCATGACGTAACTTGCCCAAGTTCATAGCCAAAAATTGAATGTAGCCAGGACTCAAGAGCCACACAATATGACTTCACAGCCAGTGCCCTTTCTGGTTACAGCAAGTTGTCCTTCCGTCAGTGTGGACAAGTGTGCTGTGCTTTTAAGACGTATTGTGATTATTTGGCTCCTTGTAAAAAAGAAATAGTTCCATGTATTACATTTTTCACAGGGTAGAATGAATTTTAGACAAAACGCTTACTATATATTGCTTCAGGGAAAGAACTTTGTAACAAGGATGATCACATTAACAAAAGCTAATATTTACACAGCCATTACTATGTGCAAGCCATAGTTTCCTGCAACTGTGTGAAATAATGATTATTATTATCCCTACTATTGATGAGGAACTGTATGTAGAAAGGGTAACTTCCTTAAAATGACCCTGCTTATAGTAGGTGGCAGAGCTGGTGACACCCTACACTCTTTACCTCCTTATTATAATGAGAATCATAAAATATCTTACCTGTGTCTCTGGTGTACTTTCTGATTATTTCATTTTTTGAATTTATGGAATCTAAGTGAATTTTGATTTGCATTTTTTTAAAAATTCTACTCAATAGAGGGTCGACTAGAGGTGTTCCAAGGGGAGAAATTGCTATCATCCATCCCTATGTGGACCACGTTTGGAGAACTAGCTATTTTATACAACTGTACAAGGACTGCCTCCGTGAAAGGTAATAGGGAATGAAATGCTCTTGCTTTGATGTGTTACTAAATGTTAAAGATGATGCAGTTTATGTCATAGTTACATCCTGGTTCAGTCTTTCTATCTTCCATTTTGCCCCATATGTTCTCCTTATTATAATAATTATGTTCTTATTATAATAATTACATTATTATATTCTTATTATAATAATTATTATATTCTTATTATTATAATAGAAGTGCTCTGCTTATACAAGCTTTTATATTGAAGTACTTGTCTAAATAATTCAAGTTAAAAAGAACTTTTCCATCAGATACCTGCATATAAAATATAAAATGGTTTATACCAAATGGCTCCAATATTTGCTTTAATTGCCATTTGAGTTTTTACTACATAGGTATCTGCCTTTGGCTCATCCAGAATGTTTTCGTTTCAGCCTCTATGAAGCTCTGACCATATTATAAACCAGAAAAAATAATAAGTCAGTGAAAATGTATGAATATCAAAAGGAATGTGAATCAGAGTCATGAGAGTTTGCATGAATGACTTTTGGAGTTAGCGTAGCTGCTTCTCCCAAGGATTCCTGTTTTATTGACTTTATGGCAGTTTCAGGTTTTTCATCTGAAAAGTTGATGTAGTTCTGATGTTTCTCAAAGTTTGGGATGGGGTTTGCTGAGAAATTAGGTAAAAATGCAGATTCTGGGGCTCTACTTCCAACTTGAATCAGAATCTCTCATGGTAAGTCCTAGACACCTATATTTTTCAACAAGAATAACAAGATGACTCTAATTTACCTGAAAGTTTACTAATCCAGAGCTTTGTCTTTGGATCTGTTTTGTAGGCTTTCATTAGTCTTCTTAAAAAATTTTACAACCACATTTTTGTCTCGAGTTTTTGAGAGGAGCCAGGTCTGTTCCTTTCTTTTTAGATTTTATGGTTGACTTTAATGTCTTTACTGTAAAATAAAATACCTCATAAACTTCCTTCCCTAGTCTCTTACAAATTATTTGCATGCATTTTATACAAAAGTGACCATAGAGATTCTTAAATTATGATATTTGCTCCCTTTAGCAACAATGTCTGAATGACATAAACCCAACCCCCCCCACACACACACACAGAGAGCTCTTTAACTTTCAATTACCTGCCTGTGAATTTTTCACTCTCTGGATTAGCTACAAATTGACAGGTTTTCTCTTGTGTCACAGCATGAATCTGGAGTACATCCTGATTATGTAGTGCATAATTGGGAATTACAAGCTAATTTGAATATCATCCTAACGAAAACATAATTAGAAAGGAAATCTTTTGCTAGTCTCCTCCAAATCATAGTGTCTTTCAAAGCCAGAGCGATTTATAAAATTAATATTTACTTTCTCCGTCATCTTGCATTTGCATGTTTGAAGAGTGTGTTTTCCAAGAAATATCGTTCTTAGGTAAACACGTGATAAATGCATCAATTTACAATTTGGAATGGTCTCCCAGGGTGGTGCTAAACAATGATTTATTGTTTTCCTGAAGCCATTACCAATGTTAAAACGTGGGCCCTAGATCGAGAGGTGTTCCAGAATATAATGAGGAGAACAGCCCAAGCTAGAGATGAACAGTACAGAAATTTCCTGCGAAGGTAAGACTGACACCCGGGGGAAGTGCGGATGGCGGGTGGAGGGTAGGGAGGGGTGTAGTGCAGAGAGGTTGGCTTTATTAGAATGATTATTTTACTAGAGCCTCTTCCATTTCAGCATTTCCAGCATGATTAAACCAAAGGAAGAAAAATACTTCCCTTGTAGCAAATACCACTTTATATCAAAAGTTATATTTAATTTTCATTAGCCTTGTGTACTGATTCATTTCTCTTGCTAGTTTTTGCCCTTGTATTCACGAATTCATAGTGTTGAGTACAGAGAAATATGCAGAAATCCTAAAATATTCACTGGGTGGCTCAGCTTTGAAAGACACTTGGAATTTGAAAATGGCAGACAAAAAAATAACCTTTCTAATAATATTTTGCTTATAATATTAAAAATATATTTTACAGTCATTTCTTGCTTGAGAAAGTCTCTTTCTTATTTGCATAGTCACACCATCCTGCAAATTACTGTTATTTGTAGAAAATTGACTCAGAGAGGGATCTTTGCAATACGCTCATTTGTGAGCAATTCTGCACCTCAACAACTTAGACACATCAGTTTATAAGAAAACAAATGTCTATGTGCATGAAAGAGCCAGTTCCGCATTAAAACATTTTTTTGAGAGTGTAAGTACTTGATTTAAACTATTTCTGTATCTTCTGTGGGAGTTTTGAAAGTCTTTGAAGCTGTAATACATAGTGTAATGAAATGTTATCTGTAATAAGTGATAATCATAATGACTTATCATGTGATTTCCAAAAATAAATTCTTAATTCTTTATAACCACGGTGATTTTATCAGGCATAAAAAGCCTTCTGGGCCAATGATTTCAGGGCTTGACAGTGTCTCACATAAGTGAGGGCTCAATAAATAACAAATGAACACATTGTTGATCAGCAGAACATCGTAGGCATTACAGGTGCTCACACTGGAGAGTCTCACTGACTTGCCCTCCCAGAGCAGTCAGGACTCCTGGCAGACAGTGGCAGTAATGGGTGCCGTAGGCAGTTTATTGTGGGATCTGCCTGAATCTAGGTGATCACGAAGCCAGCAACTGAACAGCAAAAGTTAATCAGCATTTAAAGCCAATAAGCCTTACCATGCTAAGGGCAAAAAGAGACACACATTTAAACCAGGGCCTGGGGGCGGTGTTGGAGTGCCTGAGATAAAACCTGAGCCCAGGGCAGAGCAGGTCATTCCCTGGGAGTCTACTCTGTCTGTCTCAGACAAAAAGCTCAGATAAACAACAAGTGCACGTTACTTTTTTCCTTTCTTCCTCTGTCATTTCGCTAATTCATTCATTCAAGCATTCATTCAAATGCTTATTACTGGGCTTTAAACCTTGTACACGCTGTGGTTGAGAGAGAGATAAACCCTATTCCTGCTTTCATGGTGGGGGGAAAGATGAAATATTTCTCCTGTATTTCTTTCCCCACCAGTCCCCAGAGGTGATAGGTTTACAGGAGAGAATTTTCACTGACATTGTAGATACCAGTTTGAAACGGAAATAAAACCTTTGATGATTGCCTGGGATAATCAATGGCAAGTTCTGATTTCCTGTTTACCATTTCATCCATGGGAAGATCTATTAGGGGAATTTATATCTCTTTGTTTCATAATATGCAGTAAGCTCTTTCCATTTATTATAAGTATATGATATTCTTTCTATATGTGGTATGTAGGTACACATGTAATGTATAAAACTCCCTAACAAGATAAAGGCCAGGAGGCCACCCTCCGACCAGGGAATAGCGAGTGAACGACCTTGTTACGGAGGTTCTCATGTCCTCCCCCAGGCCATTTCCAGGCTCCCCCTTCCCTCTTCTTGGGGGTGGTCTACGTTCTGAAGTTTAGTCACTGTTTCCTTGATAGTCTTTATAATTTTTCCTGTGGTTTGATTGAGCCTGTTTTTGAACTTTATACAGGCTCTGGCTACCGTGACTTTTAAAGATAGTAGAGTGCAGCTAATGGAGATAATTGCCCAGTTCTTCCCCAGCCTTGGCTGGTCTTCACTTAATCACAAGGCTGTGGACAAAAATCTTATCCTTTACAAGCAGAGCTCCTCACCCAACCTGATAGAGGGGGTAGACAGGGAGAAGAACACACTCTGGATGTGATTTACTTTGAAAACTAACAGCAGTTTTCCCCCCTACATAGACAAACATGTGATTCCCTCTCCACCGTATGGTATCTTACTATTTTCATTTGCTTGCCTGGGAAACTTGTCTGTATATATATGTATGTATTATAGATGTAGGTGCTCATAGGTACTTATATGTATACATAGGAAATGATATATAAGTATCTATCATTTCCTATATATATGACATTTAGTTATTTACATGTTTTCTTTAGATATTTACGTTATCTAAAAATATTATAATCGGAAAAATTATAATCGATTATATTGTTAAAATCCTTTGTAAAGCTTTTAGAATCTACATATATGTGTGTGTTTAGACTTTAATTCAGGAAGATAATTAAAGGTTTCTTTAAATTTTGAAGTGTATCCTTGCTGAAGAATTTACCTGAAGATAAGTTAACCAAGATCATCGACTGCTTGGAAGTGGTAAGAAATTTTTAAGTACAACAAACAATTTTATTAGATGACGTTAGAATCTAGTCATATTATTAGCCATGAAAATAAATAAAAAAGAAAGGATGACAGATCATCAGTCTGTAGAGATGAAGAGCCTTTTTCTATTGTGAAAAACGTTTGGCCAACTCGCACTGAAGTAGGGGCTGGAAAGGGTGTAGACTCTCGAAATGTATAAAAGGAAATTGGATTTGCATGTGTGAAGTGAAATTTCATTTACATATTTTAATCTTTTAGTATATTTTATAAACTAATCTGCCTTACTCAAGAGGCATTTGATTTTCTACAATTAACATCACAATCCCTTGCAGAGTTTTCATAGTATAAAGAAGTCAGCGATGCATGAGTAGGAAATGGAGCAGAGAAAGGGTATGTTGGTCCTTTTGGTGACAAGCCTCTGAATCAGACTCTGAAACACTTTATACTTGAGCACTCTAGGCTACAAAAATATATTTTAAAAAACTGTACTCAAGAAGCACTTTATCTATTTTAACATCAAGGGGGAAACAGCATATTGGAATGTGCTCAAAAAGTCATTTTAGGCATCACCCAGATGGTTTGGTTCTAGTCCAAGACTAGTCAAGTCTTTTCATGAATAATGCTTTTATGACATGTACCTTGGAGTCTAATGATATGCATTTTTCCCAAAGCTCTTTAGATTTCAGAGATTAAAATTCAAGGAAAATAAGCTTGCAAACTTTTTTTGGGGGGGGTCAATTTCATTGAAACCCAAATAGCTTTTATGGAATTTAAAGGAGGTAAGGAATAGTAAAGGAATCACATAAAGACTTTAAGATTTTATAAAGTTGTTCTCAGTAGGAGGGAAAAAAATTCTACAAGGCTGATTGTTGACAGATTCATGCCTCTGTCAATCACAATATACAGTGTAAGTAATATCTGCTGAGAAGGGAGCAGGGACCACTTTATCCTTAAGTGTAAGTGACACCAGCAGTGTTTCCATTTACAATTCATGGAACCCGTCCAGCAGTTTATCAAGGACAGGCTATGATGACATGGTGCCTGGCCCTGTGCCCCCGGGGGATTCTGATATGAAGTCATTTTCTAGAAGACTGCTCAGCCAGCATCTCCTGGGATTTTACCAGTGTAACATAAACCAATCACAGATGTTACAAATTAATAATTCATCTTAATTTCTGAGGGTTTTTTAAATCCAGAGAGGGCCTGTATTTTTTTGTTAACCAAGGAAATCTTTTTCTAATATAACACTAATAGAGTAATTCACCAGAGGGGAATTCTATGCTGACAGCAAATATGAAAATTTAGTATCATAAAAAATAAATGGTAAAGTATAGCATTTATATACCATTTGTATATTTATAGCAACCGCAGGCAATAGCTATAGACCATATAGATGGAGGCTAAAATACAGTACTAATGAACACAATTCGAGTTTGAAAGTATCATCTTTTGAAACATGCTGGAAAGGCTTTGCTGTCTCTCAGCATTTGCACAATCTATAAAGGGCTCTTTATTCATACCTGCAAACAAATGCGTCCCTGTAATGTGTGAAAATTCTCAAATGCAAAAGTGATTAACAAGCGGGGAACGGGATCCGTTTAGCTCTAAGAAAAGCATGTCATTTATCAGCCTAGCTTGGGCTGATGACCCCCCAACTTGGTCCTGACCACAGCCAATCTCTAATGCACTGGAGTTCTGACAGAGTGCCTGCTGAGGTCTAGGACCAGCTGTCCCACGAATTGGCCACATAATGTTTGAGAAAAACAGGCTGGATATCTCTTGCTGTTTAGGAATTGACTTGGGAGTTCTGTGGGGGAGGGGGTGAAAGGAGAGGATTAGAATTTTCCATCACCAAGCAGTTGATCTGATGTGTTTAAGAAATGGCCCTGACTGTGCAGTGTTCCAATGACATTTCTTATGAAATGGCCCTGACTGTGCAGTGTTCCAATGACATTTCTTACGTTAGCTTAAATCACTCAGGTCTAGAAGCCTTTGAGCTTCTTCCCATATCATGTCCTGATGGGAAATGAGAGTGGGAATAATACCAACATACTCAATGGGATGCTTGAAGAGTTAACTGATGAAAATCACAAAGCATGATTCTGATTTGGAATAGAATGAAAGATTCATTATAATGAAAATGCTGCTGTGACTCATGCCCCCGGCAGTTGTGGAGTGTGGAACACAGGAGTGGAAGGAGTTTCTGCTCCCGCACACGGTGATCAGTCCAGGAAGCCCAGGATTTGACCGTGTGTCCTCCTGAGTTACAAGGATTGATCTCAATCATAGTCACCTCACTCTCTGTCGCAGGGCTCTGGTGTTTGATCCAGTGGCCTTCTGCACTGTGGCTCCCACCTGCCACCTTTCACAAAGCCGGAGGCATGGGTGGGTGGGATGTCCTTGCCCTTATTCAGACCCCCTGTTATGCCAGTTAGAAGGCAGATTCCCAAGTACCAACCTCACACTTAACTGAAACAGGAACTCGGGGGGCGGTCCCCAAATCCACATTTTAAGATTTTAACGATGAGATTCTTATGCTCATTAGAATTTGAGAGCCACTGGTTTGTCATGAATAGAATACATATATTTAGAGTTTGCTGCAGTCTGCCTCATCACTCAGGAATTTTCCATTTTTAATCATTTTTTAAAAAGTTCAGTCTTTCTTCCTTGTAATCCCCACTAAAGCTTGCATAAGCCAGTTCTTCCCCTCCTTTTAATGGTTACATGGATTTTGCCACAGTTTATAGACCAATGAGCTACAGGTCGGGAAGCCAGGTGTTGTAGCAAGTTCACTAGTCCAGCGTGTGGACTTGAGAGTGTGTGCGTCCGCCTCTGTCCCTCCCAGCTGATAGTAACTGTGGTGGGTATTACATAATCTCACCCACAAAATAAGGAGGTGGTGGGCCACATCTGCAGGCTCTTTCAACAGCTAAATAACAGAATTCTGTATGTGGCATGTCCAAAGAGGAAGAATTTCTGTTGATTTTCAGTTAGTAGCCTTTAGTTCCTTGAAAATAACCAATCAGGTGCTAATTTATGCCTGAATGATTGATAGAGCCCGCCTGATCCAGGTGTGTGTGATTTAAAATTTCTGAGCTATTTTGACTATTGTACTTGGAAAACAAAATAACCGGCAACAGTCCACATAACTGTAACCAAGTTTTTAAACAACAAGCCTGTGCGTGTGCGTGTGGTACATTTGGTTGTATATCATCACTATTTCTTTGTAATGAAGATTTCTGGCCATCAGCTACATAATGACAGTAATATATTGAAATTATTGTTCCTGATGGACATGAGGGATACTGGTCTCAATTTCTAATTCCTTGAACGGCAGTAGCTGGGAAGATTCTGCTTACACACTACATAGTTCTTTTATTATTTCCAAGTATTTGTCATCATGAAAGATCAACATTAGAATTTTTTATATGTGGATTCTATTATTGAAGGTAGGTTTATCCCCAGGAAGTCTCAGCTGATCACTCATTTCTTTTTATGTATTGATGTGGAATCTCTTGCATATGTTTGTGTGAGTGGAGGACCCTGGGCAGGGTGAGACTTTAAGGAAGTCCTAGTCTTGCTGCTGTGTCCTTACCCTCCATCGCCCAGGAGTCTTCTTCTGGGTTCATATATTCTATTTACAGGCACCCATGCACTATGATTTTGCTAGGTTATCACAGAATAAGCATTTTATTTACAGTGAAATGGGTCATGAAGCTTAACTAGGTTATGAAACCAAATTAAAGGAACTCTTAAAATCAGAGTAGTATTATTTTTGAAAATGTTTCCTTTTTTATAATTGTATCGTGCGTGCTCTTGGGTGTGTATTAGGGGTGTGTGTGTATTTCTTACTCTGGGCCAGAGTACAGGATGCTTGAAAACTATCGCTGCACAGGACAGAGTCCATGGCTTCTTGGCCCTGTAACGGACCCCTTTGCAATGTAACCACAAGCACAATAACCACACTATTTGGATTTCTCTTTTTGGTCTTGGTGACCACTCTGGCTTGACTGGCTCCGCTCCCCAGTCGACAAACACCAGGCCACCTAGCACCACAGCCAGCACTTACCACTGTATATTTTGGGCCTGACCTATTTCCACAGTGTTTTCTGATCTGTGAAGTTACTGTCAACATGCTGTGAGGTATTATTTATCTTCCTTCCATGGTTTGGGGTGACAAAGAATCATTCCTGGGAAAAGTACCACTAGGAAGGTTGTCCCTTATAAAATAACAAAGCTCTTTCTCAGTGCCCCCTTTCAAAATTTTATCCCTTAGAACTTGCTGGGTTGATGGGAATTAGAGCCACACCCCTGCATCCATCAAAGGCTTTGTAATAACTGTGGAACAACTTCATAGCACTTTAGAAATTCACCCTGCCCCTTCTGCTCCACGTGGCCGATAGGGACTGGGATTGCCAAGAGACTGGGAAAGACTGACAGCAGACTGAAGTGGGACATCCAGCAGGGCTCCTATGGTCGTAGCAAAGATAATTGAACATTCTCTACACAGTGAAGACGTCTGGACCACAGGGTCCTGGCCATTCCATGAGAGCCATCGTCACTTCTGCTGTAAAATCAAGCCTGTTTACCGTCAAGGTCCATGATAAAGCTAAAGCAGAATAGATAGAAAGGAGAGTTTGAGTAAAACTGTGAGGCAGCTATCATTGTGGATGATAGAGTGGATGTCTGTCACTTGTTCACATATATAACTGTCCAGGGATGAAGGTCCAGTTAGCTCCACACAGTCACTCGGGAGCCCGAGTTGATGGCTCCCCTGCCATTTCCCACTTGTGGTTTTCACAGTCCCTGTGGGCCATGCCATTAAAATGGAAAAAGTACAAAGACACATGTGTGAAAGGGGTTCCTGGACCTGGCCTGGAAGTGGAAGATCATGTCTACTCAGATTCTTTTATAAAACAGAAGTTACGCTCATGGCCGCAGCTACCAGCAGGGGGCGCTATGGAGTGTAATTTACTCGGAAGTTTGCACCTGCCTGAGGAAGACTTTGATGCTCATCCCACAGCCTCTTTCACGGGAATTAATAGTCTCCAAGTGCCTCGTGTGCATCAGATGGTCCACCAGGTGCTTTCGATGCCCTAGCTTACCTCGTCCTCAGATGTCATTAGGTGTGGTAGATAATGCAGTTATCAAGTTGACAGCAAAGGAAAGTGGGTTCCAGAGGCTGTAACAGCTAAACAATTACCATCCTCCTCCTTAACACGGCAGTCAGGAACGAACAGTTGCTGTGCTTCAGATGGTCTTGGTGCTTCAGAAAACACTACCTTTAATTGGCTTATTGTAGTAGGCAGAATGGCACCCCCAGCATGCCCAGACCCTAATCCCTGGAGTGTGTGCTGACGTTTCATATACATAGAAAAAGGGACTTTGCTCCTGTTCTTAAGGTTTGGGACTTTAAAGGAGGAGATTGTCCTGAATTGGCTCCATGGGCTGAATACAGTTACATGAGCAGAGGATTTGCTGTGGCTGCGGGTAGAGCGAGGCAGCGGAAGTGGCAGCCAGGGAGGTCCAAGGGTAAGAATCTGAAATACTTTATTGGTTCTGCTATGTGGGGTCTCTGTGCAAGGACAGTCAGAGGCCCCCAAGAGCCAAGGGGCAGCTCCAACTGATAGCCAGTAAGGAAGTGGGAACCCTATTCTACTCCTACAACTGAATTCTGCCAACAGCCTGACTGAGGCTGGAAGTGGATTTTCTCCTGAGCTTCCAGAAAGGAGCACAGCCCTACTGATACCTTGAATTCAGTCTTTTTTTCTGGTTGTTGTTTATTTTGAAGCAGAGTCTCACTCTGCTGCCCCAGGCTAGAGGGCTGTGGGGTTCTAGCTCATGCAACCTCAAATTCCTGGGCTCAAGCAATCCTCCTGACTCAGCCTCTCAAGGAGCTTGGACTGTGGGCGTCCACTACAATCCTCAGCTGTTTTTCTACTTTTAGTAGAGACAGAGTCTTGCTCTTGCTCAGGCTGATCTCAAACTCCGGAACTCAAGCAGTCCTCCCACTTCGGCCTCCCAGAGTGCTAGGATTACAGGAGGGAACCACCACGCTGGCCTTGAGTTCAGGTTTAAGAGAGTAAGCAGAGAAACCTGCCGGAGCCATCCTCTGCCTGGACTTTCGGACCCACAGAAACTGGGAGATAATGCAAGAGTGTTAATCCAAGCCACTGAGTTTGAGGTGGTTGTAGCAGCAAGAGAAAACTAATGGACTTCTCTAAATATTTTTTTTTTTTTGTAATTTGAAGCCATTTGTTTTTTGACATTTTATAATGTCATTTCTGTTTCTAGAAAGGAAAATTTTAAAACAAAAAGAAATAGCAGGACCTATGGATAAACAGAAAACACTTTGCATAGGTGTCTAAGATTGGGCTGTCTCGTCTTGTGCTATTCTTTAAAATTTCAGAATATTACAGGTGCACACATGTTTTGGTTTGTTCTGTACATTTCAGGTCAAAGTTATAAACGTGCCCTTTACCCAAATTGTGTGCATCATGCCATTAGGTGTGATTACCCAACACCTTCCTCTTGCCACCTGCTTGATTCCTGCAGTGTGGGTCCTATTTTACTTCCCTACGTGCACTTAAGTGTTGACTGACTCGTCCCAATTTAGTGTTGAGTACATGTGGTGTTTGCTTTTCCACTCCTGTTAAGTTTCACAGAGAAGAATGGTCTCCAGTGCTATCCAGGTTGTCACACAGATATTAGATCACCATTCTTTGTATGGCTGAGTAGTACTCCATGGTACACAGATGCCAGGTTTTATGAATCCATTTATGTATTGATGGGCGTTTCCGCATCCTCTCGCAATTGTGAATTGTGCTGCTATACATGTTTGGGTGCAGGCATCTTTTTGATAAATGATTTTCTTTTTCTTTTGGGTGAGTACCCAGTAGTGGGGGTGCTGGATCAAATGGTAGGTCGCCTTCTGGTTCTTTGAGGGACCTCTGTACTACTTTCTGAGAGGGTGTACTAGTTTGCAGTCCCACTGGCAGTGTGCGAGGGTTCCTTTCTCTCCGTATCCACGCCAGCACTTGTTGACTTGGGACTTTTTGATAACAGCCACTCTCATGGGAGTGAGGTGGCATCTCCTGGTGGTTTTGAGTCCCTGATGAGTAGAGATGTTGAGCATTTTTTCGTGTGTTTGTTGATCATTAGACTGTCTGCCTTTGAAATATTTCTGTTCATGTTTTTTAACCACTTTTTAATGGGATTGTTTGACTTTTTTCTTGCTGATTTTCTTGAGTTCTTGGTAGATTCTGGTTATCAGCCCTTTATAGCATACAAATATTTTCTCACATTCTCTCAATCTAGAGTAAATAGACCTCCCTAAATCTTTGAAGGTAAATGTTATTATTTTAATTTTAAGGGTTGATGAAAATAAAATTCAGTGTAAAACTGGTATTTGAATCTAGATCTATTTCTTCTCCCCACCTCAGATATTATGCTTCTTTCCATGAGATATTGAAATATCTTACAAAAGGTACACAGTGCTGTAATAAAAGGCTCGTTTATTGTATTAGAAGTAGTATTTATTCCATAAATGTAGATGTGTTTTAGGAGTAAATAACCAGGAAGATATCTAAAAACAGAAGACAAAAGCCGTTTAATTTGAAATTTATTTTCAAGTCTCAAAGAAAAACAAGAGAGAGCTATTACATGGTTAATTATGCCTTTGTAAAAAATTAAACAAGCCATTTTTGTTTGTATAAATAATTAAGAGATCCATTTTAGTTCTGTGTCTTTGAGATCAGATCAAATTAAAGCAAAGTAGGGGCAGTGCGATCCATCTTTTATTTTATGAGGTATTGAATTGCTCTTTTTTGTCTGAGTGGAGGATAGATTATTTTTCCCCTGCCCAAGGATTCTCTAATCCTACCAACATATTAAGGGATGTGGACATTGATAAATAAAAAGAAGTAGATAATAATTTGAGATTTCCTAAGGACAAGCCTACTTTGAGTATAATAATAGAATTTACATGTAAACATTATAGTATCAATCTTTTATGATGACAAATATTTAGAAATAACAGAATCTTTCTGGCAATTGCTTTTCAAGGATTTATTACAGAATAGAGGTGAATATTCCTAATATCACTGGGATAATGTTTTTGACTGTTTCTTATCACTAAGCAGTTTAGACTGTACAGGTGAAAGCCTGCTTGTGTATGTGATTACTGTCTGGCTCTCTCTTCTTTGTATATCTTTGGTCTTTATGCCTGAAATTCAGTATTCCAGGTGAATTTTCTTTGTGAAAGAAGAAATATAACTGCAGATAAAGAAAAGCAAAAGTCTCCTTACTTTTACACAGTTTATAACTGCAATGTATGAAAAGCTCAGAGTTCCAATAAGCAAAATATAAACGGAACAGGTGTGGAGCCCACGTTTCACAGACACAGTTCTATTTCTGTTATGCCTTCAGTTGTGTGTCTCCACTTGATCTGACACTTTCTCTCTCTCTCTTCCCAACAGGAGTACTATGACAAAGGAGATTACATCATTAGAGAGGGTGAGGAAGGAAGTACCTTTTTCATTTTGGCCAAAGGAAAGGTAAATATTAATTAAAGCTTACTAAATAAAAAGTGTTATTTTGAATCAGCATGCCAGAAAAGTCAACAGTGCTTTATCTTGTCACATAGTCTAGTGCATTGAACAGGTCCCAGGGCTTCTGCTAGTAGAATCCCATAAGGTTCTCTGTGAGCGTGACATGCGAGTGGGGACCACAGGAGACTGGGGAGAGGCTCCAGCAGAGGTGGTAACTTCTTAGTGACCTTATATAGATCACGCGACTTTGGGGAGGGCCAGCGTAGACTGTAAATGAAATGGCCAGGTTAGTTCACCCACTTCTAGCTGTAGGATTCTCAATCAGCTCCCCAGTCCAAGATCATTACCAGACTAGTTTCCCATCCAACAGATACAGTAAGCGGCAGGTAGAAAAGAATGAGTAGAGTAACTGAGGCCCTCAAAGCTTAGAGATCAAGCTGTAGACTCAGTGTGGCTCAGAACTTCAATGCACGGTAGCTCAAGTGGATTTGAATACTGATGTAAAATTTATACTAGTCTGCACAGTAGGTCTTTTGTTCTATCAAGATATTGGAGGGATAACATGTTTCTGCTTGTCCCTACGTTGACTCTTAAAGATGTTTCAGAGATAAAAAGCATTTGTGGAATAATTGACGATGAAGTGTCAATTCTTGAGCACCTGTTTCTACAAATTGTCACATTTTAACACATTTTCTGTCTTCTATGGAGGACTTTATCATCAGAGAGTCAGGCACTGCCCGTTGTAAACTGGTTTGTAGTTGAACTTTGAACAGGGCCCCCAGTGAAGGAAAAATATGAACAACATAGTTTCAAACCTCTGAAACTGTTCAACACTCAGAACCACTTATCATTTCTCCCTAATCTGAGCCCTATGCTTTGAATAATTCTGTCTAATAAACTAGTTACAATTATTATTTTTAAAATTTAATTCGTTGTAGCACACATAAATGCGAATCAGAATTTCTAATCATTATGATGCAATACTTGTTATGATGTTGAATTGGAATAATTTTAGCTACAAACAGGACTTTTGTTCCTGTTTAAGTTGTCCACGGGGTTCTTAACCCTGCCTGGGCCAGGTGGTGCTCTGAGATATCCATGAAAGTCGTAGACTCTTCTCCAATCTACATTTTGGATTTGATTTGGAGGGCACACAGGATTCAGCTGTGGCTACAAGACTCAGAACTTCTAATATTTGCTAACCAGATTCTTGGTTAATGTGTCAACTCTATTTGCCTTTTTTTAAATAACAAAAGCTCCCACAGGATCATTATTTGCTTTGAGGATCTCTCAGAAAAAATCACTAAATTCCTATTAAAAATTTAACATTGGGTGGGGTGTGAACAGTGAGTTTTCTTTTTACAGTGGATAGAGTTATTTGATCATGTTTTAAACTACAGGATTTTCCACCTACAACAAAATGAGCTAACTGTAGCTAATTTCCCTAACTACTGCAAAATTAATGCATAGTCTTGTCTTTTTTCTTGTTCACCAAGAGTATATAGCTCCTGCTTGGTTGAAAGGATATGTGTCCAGATTTTCCTTTTTATTTTGTCTCTTTTTAATTGTTTAACATCATTTAGGTTAAAGTTACACAGAGTACAGAGGGCCACGACCAACCACAACTGATAAAAACCCTGCAGAAAGGTGAATATTTTGGAGAAAAAGCTCTTATCAGGTGAATCTATAAATTTATATACCATACTTAAATAAAATGCTTTGACTGTTTTGCATGTAACTCTTCATTTAGGGTTGTCAAATGGAGCTACCAAATTAATGGTAACAAATATCCAGAAATTAAATAATAAAAATTTCAGACTGACTTTAAAAATTCATTGTTATAAGGGAAGTAAATACATTTAATTTTGCACAGGACTAATCAAAAAGTCTTATATTTGTTAGTAAAAATAAAATTGGTGTTCTATGTGAGTTTTTAGTTAACAAAGAAAGAGCCTGAGGATAAGATTTAATTGCAATTTTCTCTTATAAACGAGCTTAAAATATTTCCCTGTTTAGAGTTTTCACCCTCTCAAAACATTATCAAATATTGACTTTACATATTTTGGGTGCTTTTGAATTACCATGTCAAAAGTTGTATTTTGTTAAGAATTTTTATCAGCTCATTTTGCACATTTTAGAAACAAACTCAAGATTGTATATTTAAAAATTCAACTTCTGGATGGCACCTGTGGCTCAGTGGGTAGGGCACTGGCCCCATATACCGAGGGTGGCGGGCTCAAACCCAGCCCCAGCCAAACTGCAACAAAAAATAGCTGGGCATTGTGGTGGGCGCCTGTAGTCCCAGCTACTCCGGAGGCTGAGGCAAGAGAATCGCCTAAGCCCAAGAGCTGGACGTTGCTGTGAGCTGTGACACGACAGCACTCTACTGAGAGTGATAAAGTAAGACTGTGTCTCTACAAAGAAATTAAATAAATAAATAAATAAATAAAAATGCAACTTCAACCTTCATTCTTTTGAGGTATAAGTTTATTTACTGTTGATCCATTTATAGAAGAAATATTTTCCAAGGCTTATCAGCTGGCTCGTGGGACACTTTGCGTTTCTTGGAACTCATAAAACCTCAAGTCTAAGATACATTTTCCTAGCTATAAATAACTCCATAAAATACTAAGTTAAAGTTTCAGGCAACACACTTTTTGGGACTGACATTAAGTTTTTAAATGAATCCTTAGAAGTAGTTTAAAAATCACTTGAAATTTATGTGTGCCTAAATCCTTTTATTTCAAATTTATGGTCATAAAAGAGGAATAGTATTTCTGTTCATTCCTCCCCTTTACTTGTACCTTTGAAACTCCAATTCTGCTGATTTGTAGGTCAGGGTTATGTAAGTATGGAGCAAAGAAAAAGTTCTTATAAGTTACCTGGAGACAAATTTGATTATTTGAAAATCAAACAGCAGGGGACGGGGGAGGTTTGATAGAGGGAGGATAAATGGTGGGACCACACCTATGGAGCATATTGCAAGGGTACAAGTCAAATCTGTCAAGTGTAGAACATAAATGTCTTAACAGAATAATCAAGTAAATGAGGCAGAAGCTATATCAATTAGTTTGATGTAAGCACGTCTAATTATATAAAAAAACAACACATTGTACCCCACATATGCATAAATGTATTCATGATCTATGTATATATGACTTAATAAAAAAACATAAGGTTCTTATTTGTAAAGAAATCCAACTACGGAAAATTAATACATTAAGTTATAACTATTATGTAAACAATTTAAAAGTGGAATTTTTAAAGACAAGCCGATTCCCTCTCCCTCCCATTTATTAGCCGGTAATAAACTTTTTCCAGTAATGGGGAATTTATCCATGTTTTTGTTTATTTATCAAAGAGTATGAGTACGTTCATGCAACATAATAAGGAAATATTATTATCCAAGACTTCAGCGCATTTGCTGTTACATTTACAGGTTAGTTTTCTTAGACTTTCCAGTGTAACAACTAAAGCTTAAAAGTACATAGAAGTTCATAAATGCAATATAGACTCAAAACACCTCTTGAAAGGAAATATTTGGTTTTGCTGGGCCTGATATAATTCATGCTATATGTTGCTGCTAGTCAATTACGGTGTTTCTCATGAGAATCACAGGAATTTATGTTTAATAGAGACACTCAACTCCCAATGCATTTGAGTGCAAAAAGCTAAAATTGGTGGGAAGGAAAGTTGGAGACAAATGTTTTTGTATTTTTGTGGATTTTCATGCTATCGCTTTTTAGGGCCTCTGACTATGTCTCAATATTTTTTATATCCTGTGTATTTCCATGACTTGACATTAAATAGTCCCAGGAGTTCTTTCAGAACTTTATGTGCAAAAATAAATCCATGGCACTTACACAGTCACTATGAAAGAAACGCAAGTGTATTTATCTACATCTCATACTTATAAAAGTATTTGCAGGGAATAGTCGCATAAAAATCCTGACACTCTTGTGTGAAAGAATATCTCACCTCCTGGCTCTCTCTGAACTCACAAATCAGTTGTTTGGCTCACGACCCGGGATCCTGTCTGTCTGTATCTCTGTGTACGGCTATGTCCGTTTCTACACCCCTCTGGCTCTGTTCCATTGTCTGTCTCTATCTTTACCTCCACCTGTACATGTCCAAGCTGACTGTAAACTCTTCTGCCCCTGACTCAAAAGTCCATGACATCTTTTCACCAATATCCTCTAGCTTTGGAGGGACTATGAGCCATGTCAGAAATGTCTCTGGATGTCAGCTAGGTGGCCAGGGGACTTCTTTATGACGGTAGAGTTAGGCTGCCAAAGTTTTCCCTGTTCCAACACTAGGGGAAGATGAAGGAACTTTGTATGATGCGATTTTTGATGAAGTTGCCTAGAATAGTCCCAGTGTTTTCTACACCAAGGAAAGCTTCCTGCTCCTAGGCTGCCTTAAACATATCTTAGATATGCCCTATGCGTGTACCTTTGTTAGTGTCTTTTAGTTTATAACTAACAGAGGAAAGAAACTGACATAAGTAAAGGGCTCTAAAGAAATATTTTACCTGATACTTGACCCATTAGTAATTTAATGTGCCATCATTAGATCATATGCAATGCTTTATTATATCTATACCAGTTATAAGATATACCTGTTAGGAAAAAAAAAAAA